ATAGCCTAGGGTTTGACGACTTTCGACATTGATGCTAACCTTGATAGTTTACCTGGACTCGCTAAGCTGAAGGCACCCGGTCAAGCATCCTCGCCATTTGGCACGCCGTCGTGTTACGTTGCACTGCTCGTATTCGACTCTCTAGCCAGTTAGTTGGAACGCATCGGTGTTTTGGCACAACCATCCAAATATACTATTCCATCCGACTACGCTATCGTGTTCTTCCTTGGTCTCGTATTCGTGGGTATATAACAAGTCCGAATAATTAGTGATTGGTCTTTGCGTCTGTCAAGTTCTCAACAGGACAAATCCCAAAATGTCGCCCATTAAAATTTTGATGGCGCCATCTGTGGTGGGGTCTTGTCCAGTACTGACTGCAGTTGTCTGTAGAATTCCTCCTTCTGCTCTTGATCCGCATTATTTGTAGGTGCGTAGCATTGTATGATTATGAATTTCCTTCCCTTTGAGTTGAACCTTGCTGTCATGATACTGATCCTGGGGGAGATTAGTTCCCACTGCATGAAAGCCTTCGATGATCTTGGAGACATCATGACAGTCACTCCAAAACTTAGTGTTTTCATGGTTGTCTTCCGGGTAACAATATCGGAGTAGATTATTGCCTCTCAATTTGATGGTTTGGAGAGTAATATTCATTATAATCAAGTATTATGAGAATCTTAGTGAGAGGTTGCATCTAACATGTTCAGACTAAGAAATGTTAAGGCGGCTACTTCAGTAAATACTATACTACCATCGATTATTGATGACTTCCATCTATATAGAAGATACATGAATGATACTTTCATCATCTACGATGAGAAAATTAACGTTGATTCCACTCTTCTTAATTTCATTGAGAGTTATTCTTGAATCAGTTTCATGATGGACGTTGGTAACAGCTCAGAATTCCATTTTCTTGATATCTCGTTGAAGACATGACTTGATGGTTCCTTGGAAAAAGGCCAGTCTACGGGAAGATAATGTGGAATGGACAATATGCCAGTTTTCATGTGCTCTGCACGATTATCAGAAGACTATGCAACAGACGAGACATTAGACGATAAGCAGGAACACCTTCGGTGAGTTCCTCTTCAGAATCTTTATCCTTTAAGGTTAATCGAAGAAAACATGATGCCAAGAACAATCATAAGAACAAGTTTTTACTGTTCCTAAGAAAACTTTATTCATTAATACTGAATTTAGAAAGGATAACTTGGTAGAAGTACAGAATAACCTTCTATCCAAAACATTCAGAAAAATATTCTATGCCGTCGAATCGTGAATGGTCTTCCCCTGGCCAACAGTTGATTCAATGAAGTTCAAAGGACAAACTGCAACTTTGAGCCACATCTATCACTTTACTTGTTCATGTACAACCCGTTATGTGGGCCACACAAAGGCTCAGTCTTTCCAAATGCATCTCTAAGCAATATCCTATATAGCTGTCGAAGTGAGAACGCAAGTCAAGCAATATTTTCATCTTAAAATATTTGATCAACTTTGATCATTTAAATTCCCCACAATCTTCTTTGAAAATTTTATACGAAGTCAAGCTAGACAGCTCAAAAGGAGTGCGGATCGATCACTTATGGGCCCCATAGGAGTCGGCAATCTAATAATTAAAGCCTAAATTCTGCCTACAGAAGAGCTATGTTCATTCTCTTTAAGTTTCTTTATTGCTTCAATACTCACCATCGTCTTAGTAACTGGCTGCCATTACTTTCTTATTTGGCAGTTTACTTCCCCACACCTCCCCTTAAATTTCTCATGATTAACCATTATTATTTCCGACCTATTCATTTTTTAACCTATTAATCATCACCCTAGTCAACTAAAGACTTTGCTGATATACACATTAATGATTACGTAATCATTTTCTCACTCTTGAATCGACTCATTACTTCACCCTAGAAAATTCTGTTTTCATGACCATTACCACCGATATTATCAGATGCTTCAATAATTCTATCATGACAAATAATTCAAACAAACAGTTGTGTCATCTTTCATAAAGATTTACGATTGTTGTTATCAAGCCTTGTAAATGATTCGTGAATAACTGTTGTCAAAAAGGATACAACAATGATAAACTGGATTGTGAAATATGCCGATCAAATGAAATCTAGTATACACATATGATCGCATAGCTAACGAATTCTGGATGTACTAAGTAAGAGTGGTAATATCAGTCATCGGAAATACTCTGCTATAGGAAAATCCAATATTGGAAGATATCCAGTACGAACCTGCTACGCTTTATGTGAATATTTATTTCAGAAACATTATTAAATGGACCGATTAAAAGACCCTAGAAGATTTTGATTTCGCCGATGATGATTTATGTTTAATGTCGTACAAACTCGACGATCTACAGGCGAAAACTAACAAGTTGACAGAAGAGACGAGGCAGAGAAAACGAAACTTCAAGTGAATGTAGAGAAGACGGTGGTGATGAAGATACCCGACCAACAACAACAACAAACACCAATGACCATTAACGGGAAAACCTAAAGGAAGTTATTTTCTCCACCTACCTGCCTAGGCAGCATCGTTTCAACTACAGGCGGCACAGACGAGGATGTCAAAACCAGGATTGCAAAAGACAGGCTTTCACTCATCTGAAATAGTGTGGAGATCTACTGCACTCAGCACAAAGAACAAGGTCCGAATTTACAACACCAACGTCAAGTCAGTTCTGCTATGTGATTCTGAAACTTGGTACCTCACGAAAAGCATCTCCAACAAACTACAGACATTCATCAACAGCTACCTACGCTTGATGCTGAAGGTCAGGTGGCCAGAAAGAATAAGCAACAACGAAATGTGGCCTGACAAAGAACTAATCAAGAACTTATCGCCCAACAAATATGCAGAAGGAAGAAAGTGGAGATGGATTGGATTTGGCATACACTGAGAAGGCCGACTGGGGACATCACGCTTTTTTTTTTTTTCGAGTTTAGTCCAAAGGGGAAACGATGAGTTGGACGTCCGAGACGAGGGTGACATGGAGACCATGTGAGGAAGAAATGAAAGCTTCTGGGCAGTCATGGAGCGAGGTTCGAAAGATAGCAGAGAACAGAGTGGAATGGAGGCGTGCTACTGAAGCTGTTGTTCCACCAGGAACCCAAGGGAAAAATAATAATAATAGGTGGAGAACCTACTCTCTAAATGTAATACTTAAAAAGATAGACTTCACATAGTATAGTGGAGGTGAAAGGTAACAATGAATGTTTTGAATAAGCAGTCCTACTACTCCAGCCAAATATGTCACTGAAATTGATATACACACATTTGTCGAGAATAATCGTCTTATCAGATTTCTTCTATGCGATGTATTCAAAGTGAGTTATACTCTGAGCTCCGGTTTCGATTTGTATAAGTTCCAATGTTTCATGCCAGATGTCATCATCAATGCTTCGAGAAACTTTGATGTATCGAAGGAAAATTCTACCATTACATTGAGACTATTATTAACTAAAACTTCAGCTGGAAAGACAACAAAATACACTCTGAACTATAAATATTCATCTTAACTGGATATACTGAAAAATATTTTCTTTGGTAGCTAACAACTAATAGGAAGAGAATGTGGATTGTGTAAAAATGTTGTAGAATTGTGAACAAGACTTGTATTCAATCCTTAACTCTAATTGAATTAGAATAAGATGGACATATTGAAACGTATCATCCAGTTCATGAAGTGTTCAATTATCAGTATGAGTAATGAGAAGAAATGTAGACATTAGGTGACAGTTCATAATATTTTGAGGGAGTTGTGGAGATTTGGAATTATTTCAAGTTGTTATTCATCGTAGACTGACATCAGTTGGAAGAACAAAGGAAACCTGGGAGCACTGGACAGCTGTTTCGTCCAACTAGTATGGGACTCCTCAGCAGTGCGCACCCGCGACCTTCAGGTTCCGCGGCCAGCGCGTTACCATTGAGCCACTGGGTCACAATCCAATGCTTCATATTTCCAACTTCTGTTAGCTCACAATATATAGCGCAACCGCCACCCAATGTCATCGCTGAGTATTTGTCTTCATGGCCATCAGGCTTTGACTCCACCGGTCACGACTTGTCATTGGAACTTCAGGAATACTTCTCGAAACTAGTCATCAATGAGCACCAGTTCAATTAAATTTTGATGGAGTTGTAGAGATTTGGAATTATTTCAAGTTGTTATCATCATAGACTGACATCAGTTGGAGGAACAAAGGAAACCTGGGAGCACTGGACAGCTATTTCGTCCAACTAGTATAGGACTCCTCAGCAGTGCACACCCATGACCCCACCAGTTCATAATATGACTCAGAATTGATATCACTGATATAAATGAAACTTTATTCCCCCCTCTTATTGTAATCACTCATTACACTTCTTTATCATTCATCATAATGGCATAGAATATTAGGATAATATATATATATATATATATATATATATATATATATATATATATATATATTATAGATAATTGAAACTATTTCATATTCTTTCCTATTTACTTATGTTAATATGAATAAAAATTCAATAATCACAGACAATATGAAAATGAAAGATAGAAGAGAACAATTCATTGACATGATAAATATGAAAAACAATTTGTTTACAAACAAAAGTAAATCAGTATGAAGATGATAAATACTCAACAATACAATACTCATACAATAACAGTACTACTTATCATGAACAAAATGTATACTGTAGTCATATAGATTGTTTAAAAGGTAATAAACTTTAAATATATTGGAAAGAAAAGTATTTACAAAATCATAACATTAAACTATATTACTCGATAATTCTTATTTAATCAACTAGGATAAGATTAACATGTCTTTTTATAAGAACATATATATCTTATGTATAATTATAATTATAAGGTATAGGCAAACAACTTTCAATAGGTAAAAAGCTTTAGAATTTCAATAAAACAATAAATAAAGGTATGTAAACTAAAGTTATACATTAATAAACAATCACCTTCCTTTCTCTTTTTTTTAAAGTTTCGATGAATTCGATTGATGAAATCTGTTAACAGTAAAACTATTCCATTCATATGTTAATTTATAATTAGATTTTTTATTATCTAAAGTATAAGTAGTATCAATTAATTTTTTTCTATCATTTATACTATAATAATCATTAATTTCTTTATGTGTTAATAAAAAATCATTACGTAAAAGAATATAAAATAAAATTGGATTTAATATATTCATAATGAACATACTAGACATTAATAAAAATGAATAAAATGATGATATTTTATCAGGATTCATATATATACCATATGATATACAAAATAATGCAAAACCTCGACAACATATAAATGTGATAAGATTTATTAAAGAATTTAAACGACGAATAATATTCATTGGATGAATTTTATACATTTGCATAAGTTTACGAGTATGCAAAAAGATACTGTTCACTTCAGCAAGTAATGCAATAACATTATATGCTATATACCGAACATTTATAACATTATAAGTAAAGGCACCAAGAACCTATAAAAAAAAAAAGAAGTAAAATAACAAATAAAAAGAATAGATTGATATCAATTGAAGAAACATTTTAAAAAAAAATTGAAAGAACTAGACAGCTATTTCATCCTTGTATGAGACTGCTCAGTAGTATACAACTATGACTCAGTTAAGGATCAGTCTATGATGAGTTTCAACTTAAAGTCAATTCATAGAAAACCTCTACAAACCTTTAAATAGAAATAATCTAGCCCTCATTGGTGACTAGCATTCAGAGGTGATTCCCGAAGTTTCAACAAAAAATCGTGACCAGTAGAGTCAATCAAGTCGAATGTGAGGACTTTGAATGTAGGTCACACTATGTAGTGAAATGACAAAAGTTAAAAATATGCACCGTTCGATTTCAATCGAATGGCTCAATTGTAACGTGTTAGCCATGGGACCTGAAGTATGTCGGTTTAATCCTTGGCGATGCGGAGTCATGGGTGTGCACTCCTGGGAGTCGCATACCAGGACGAAACAGCTATCCAGTGCTCCCAGATTTCCAATGCTTATATCTGATTTAACGAATGTTTAACCGACTAAGTGTACTGATAACATTCTGAAGTCTTAAAGTATTTTCTCCTAGAAATGAAAATAATCCCAGGTATTTTTTTTTAATAAACACCATACAGTATATGAGAAAAGGAATGTTTCACAGTGTCCTAGAACCAGAAATTCGTACAAATAAGCGTAAATGTATACAGATATCTATTTGATGTGCAGTAACGTAAATAAAACAAACCAGCTTTGAAACAATGTAGAGAAGGAATCTAGGCATTGACTGAAGATGTTAATATGTCTACCTTAAGTAGCGTACAAAGCTCGAACTATTTTACCAAAACCAGTACCATAAAAATAAGAATAGTCAATGTTAGACTATTTCGAATCATAGTCACTGATTAATGTACTATGTTATAGGCCTATTTATATGGTTGGAAAAGCATTTCAAAGGTATAATACGACCTTACTACTATTTTAATGCGAGCTGGTTAACTTATTACCCGTTAAAATCCTGGTTCAAAACTAAGGAAAAAGGTGAGTGGATTTTTTCTTCACGATAATGGTCAAATCAACTAAAGCGCCGACCAATCTAATTTCAGCGAAATAAATTACCCATTAAACTTCATAAAATGCGCACAAAGGTGTATTCTTAGGAGTATTTTCAACTAAAGTATTTAGCTTGTTCATGTAAGTGTCTTAAGCTTCAACAAAACTTCCACAAGTACATAACTAGTGACAGTTAAGCTTCTGATCGATATGATTTGTCACTTATTGTTGTAACACAAATCTTAAAGCTCTTTTTTCCGAGAATACCAAATGATTCTAAAAGCCACCTCAATGACATATATACATCAAACACATTTCTTTATTTTACATACTTGATTTAGCTAAAGATACAAAAACCTAATTTTCTATTCAAGAAGTTTCTCAAAACAACGTTAAAATTCCCCATTGCCAATGGCCTTAGTGTCACGTTAGTGCACCGTTTGTTTAGTTCATTCACGATTTGCTTTTAGAGGTCAAGGCGTGCTTGTCAATTTGGGCTCTCCTACCGTAGCTTTATTGATTTTCTGACAAAAATAATACAACATTAAAGACGGAAGTGGATTCGTACTAGTTTGGTAACGTCAAATACTAACTGTTGCTTAATAGGCGAAATTAACTGCTACAGAGTGCCGACTAGTGCATCGTACCAACCGAAATACAAGTGAATATATCAATTTCCCGAACTTTTAAGGGCACGACACACATAGCCCCTTAAGCAGAAACTAAATGCATTAAGACTTAGGAGAGTCCATAGAGTTACTTATTCTGTGTATACTTCTAATCTAATATCTATTCTTTTTACGAGCTAGAGCAAACCAATTGATTTCTTCGCGCCCGCATCTGGGTCTTGCGGAACAATAGTAGTCCTTAAAAAGTAAACAACACATCATCCGAAACTTTTGTAATTGATAGCGTAGTCTCAAGCGAATGTATGTAACTGGACTAACATTTCCACAAAATCTGTAATGTAAATGTATACTAACTGACTAGAGTACACGAAACATTCGAATAACAAACATTCGTAACCAATTTTGACTGACCTAACCCAGATACTTCGTGAGGATATGCTATCCAACCAACAGTCACTTGATGCATCGATTTCTGTGCTCAAGTCCAAGTCTAATACAAGAGGAGCCCGAAAAATTCTGATAACATATACATTATGTAAATATTCACTGGAACTAATAAACTGCATCCTACAATTATTCAATCAAGTGATCACTTTAAATAACATTCGGCACATTTTAAGATAGTGACTCAACTATTTTATTACGTTCAAGCAAGTTTTTAAGTAATTTCATCTTACCGCTATGTGATGCAAAGTCAACTCCCACATAGAGAATATTTGCTTCTGCACTAACATATCCCAAAAATCGTAGAAGAAGTAGCCTGTTAGGTTAATGGTATATATATTCCGAAACTACCTGTAGAAACTGCTACCATGTAATAGGTAAACGGAACAATATGACCTATAGGGTCATCCATCAGTTCAGGGTAATAGTAAAAGCTAGAAGGTGAGAGATAATATGCTTCACATACCATAATATATCCCATGTTCCTATTATAAGAGCATGTAGCCAAGAGATCAACATATTGCGCCATTTCCAAACAGCAAGTGGACCCTTAGACTCGACAGCTGTTGGCGGTCTTATACCTTTTAACAAGTAATCAAGAGTACTAAAGAAAGATATCGACAGCAAGACACAATACAGTCCACACCATGCGCTTGGAAATGGCAATACTGCGTGCCAGTACATTGGCACTCTAAGGCTATCGTGGACACTGATCACGCCAATTCGACCTTGACAACGTTTAGATAACGCGCTTAAAACAATGCTCCAATATACAATTTTAGAAATCCTCTGCTCAGGAACTCAAGAACTTACAGTGTCTTGCACTCTTGTTATGTTAAATTCTAACTGCAGCTTTTGGAAAGGTTTCTTCCTCTTCCAATATCCAATATTGATAGTGCGAGCGTAGAAAACTAGTAGTTTTTGATCTCTCGCGTCTAGTTCTTAGGGCTTGGTTCCAGTTGTTCGGTTCACTCCTTCAGTGGACGAGGAAATCCCCTCTGCTTTCTTGCTTTTAGCTTCGGTGAGGTGGATGTTTTGTGGGTTAGTAGGTTGTAATTTGTAGAGTGATTAGGGAGCTACGGGTTGCTGGGAAGTTTAGAGAACTGCCGTGACTCCTGTCTGTGTAGGTACCTGAAAGAGGATAGTAAGGTAGTGGTAAAGGAATGAAGAGAGAATAAAGAAGAGAGTGAAGTAGCACCATAGAGACTCTGGGAGCTGGGTTAAGGCCGTATCGCTAACCATCCTTGCCTTTAAACAGGAGTTTGCGTAGATAGCCACTCCCCCTCCTGCTCTATGTTCCCTGTCCCTGCGGAAGAGTTCCATGCCAGCAACACGCATCTCTTCGTCGGAGATGTCCGACGAGAGCCAGGATTCGGTGATGAATATGATGTCGTAGTGCTGATGTTCACGCAGCGTCCTCATTTTTGCTACCTTCTCTATTAGCCCCCTAACGTTGCTGTACATACATATTAGAGTGTGCCTGATGAGAGGGAAGGTCTGGATGTGTATTTTCGAGGGATGAGCGCTTACGTGGTTGAATTTAGCCTCGCCAGTCCTCATAGGACTGGCATTGTTCCGTTTTTTGTGTTTTGTTCTTAACTTGGGTGGGGGCTGTAGCAGTGGTGGCTTCTTTACTTGATGTATCTGACTCACTGGTCAGCGCCTGTGTGACGACCACTGACTCCAGAGGTCTTGGTGGTTGCCGTCTCTCCTCTTGCCTTGTGGGTCTAGGCTTACTTTCACATATACGTATTGAGCCACCCATGCGATCTTTCGCATTATACCATGCGTGCAGAACGTCTGTGAGGGAGGCATATGAGTCGAACTGGACGGCAAGTAGTCTGGGATTGGGTATGGTCTTCAGGTGCGCTGGCCTTGGCAGTCTACTGACGCTGTTGGCCGGTATACTGTTGAGACCAACTTTGGTTGAGAGCCATTGCCATTGTTGGACGTCGTGAAAGTACCGATCTTTGACCGAGCTGTCACTTGGCAATTCTGGAATCCCATGTACAACTATAGTGTTGTTTCTGTTGGGATTTCCAACCGCTGACTTTCTCTCCTCCTCTCTTATTGACCATGGCTTGTCAGGCCTGGCCCGAATTTTACAGGCATTAACAACGTCCGGTTGTCGCGAGAGGGGGAGTGTGTCTTCAGCCTCTTTGGCGGTATTTAGGGACACACGTAAAGGGGGTGGCTTATCTCGGGGTGCATGGCTTCCTCGAGAAAGGCGACATAAAGTTGCAGGGAGGGGGGGGAGTCCCAGCATCTGACAGTAGTCGGTCCACATTCGGCTGTCAAATTGTTCCCTCTCGACCAACAATGAGTCTGTCGATACATCGACGTTGAACAAAATGATCGAGTTGGTCCTCCTGTGACCTGGGTTCGTTGTGGGTGGCACGCCCGACTTCCCAATGGGTTTGAGTAATTCCACTGGTTGTTTCTCAGTCACGGTGTGTGGGGTGTTCGGAATGGGTTTCGTAGAGGCTTCGGCGGTCGATGTCTTTGGCCATGCGCTTGACGTCCCCTGGGGCCGGGTAGGGGTATGGAGACTTGACCTAATATGGTCCCCACGCGAGGTGGCGTGCCCACAGCTGGAGCTCTAGGTCTGTTTCCAGGTCTCTCTGTGTTATCCTTTGGTGTTAACCCTACCTTATTCGAGGATGCTGGTAGCTTTTGCGTGGCGGAGAGCATCTCCTTCAGGCTTTCTGTGCGGAGTGCGGGCATTTTCCTGCACTCTGGACAGATGTACCAGAACCACTTGCATGGTTGTCTCTTCATCAGCTTATAGTATTGTCGGGGGACTTTGGTATCGCAGTGGCAATGCGCCCATCGTTGACATAGGTTGCATGCAAATGCCTCATCGACTACCGAAACAACTTTGGTGCAAACACTGCAGCCATCGGGTGTCGTAATACAGCCTTCCTTCCATGAATAAGGTGCTACGGATTGTGGCGAACTGCTTGTGGCTGCCTTGTTCTGAAGCCTTTTACGTCGTCTTCTATTTCAGGCATGGTATGATCCTTGCTCAAGATAGGACTAGTTTGTGACGGGCTAGTGCTTCTCTGTGTCACCTGTCTGATGGCGACTGGAATTCTAGAAACATGGGTTGGCCACTTCTTCAGAAGTTCGGTGTTCTGCCCTACCTCTGTTTGTCTTCTAGTACAGACTAGTGTGTTGTTTCGGGTGTTACTGGCCGTTGTTGTGCACGACCGCGTTATCCGTGTCAAAGCTTCAGACCTAGCGTTTTGGGCAGACATGTCGCTATGATATAAACTTCTTGGGAAAACAAGTAGTTAACAACAATAAGAGGGTTGAAGACTGAATGCAGCAAAAGGACAGAATAGAAAAGGGAAGATAATTTATGTTGGCTCACCTTCAGACACTTGTCACTTGATCCTCTGCTCTTGACCAACGAGTTTAACCGTAAGCTCCAGATGCGTATGTATAACCAGGAAAGATATTTCCTGGGGAATGACCTCCGAGGAGAACCGAGAGCTAAGGCAGTTTGGCAGCTGAAACGCCCAAGAACCACTGACAGGAGGTAGACCGGTTGGTTCAAAGGAATAATAATGCCAATTTTCAACTGTTGAGGAGTGAGCTGACGAATGCGCAGGGGTGAGGTGCGTGGATGGACAGAAGTGCTGCAAACGTTCGATGTTTTTAGATTGAGTATTGCAAGTGGGAGTTTTTCATTGTGGAAAAATCCAAAAGCTGAGAGACGAGCGAAACACGTCACTACTCAAGATGCTACACTGAACCACGTGGGTTCAGTGTTATTAATGAAATAATACTTGTTTATTTTCTCTACCTACTACCCCTGAATTGCATACCTTATACCAGCTCGTAACACCTGCATCCGCCTTTCACAGACTTTTAAATCTGATCAGCATGCTAGTCCAACAACAACACGGGAGCGAGTAGAAGAAGCCCGCACTTTTTGAGCTCTCGTTTCTGAGTCTTGAGTCTCGGTTCTTTTTGTTCGGTTATGCTCATTTGGTTGTTGCATAAGTCTGTCCTGTTTACTTCCTTGCTGCTTTGGAGGTAGCAGTTGTCAGTTTGAAAGTTTGCTTGTCGCTAATTATAGGTTAGTTTGATTTTGAGAACAGCGGGGCTACTGACAAGATAAACCAGACATTGCACTGCACGTAACCGAGCCTCTAGCCAGCTAGTTGGAACGCACCGTTATTTTGGCACTACCTCGCAGATATACTACTTCATCAGACTGCGCTATTGTGGGTTATTGCAAGTACGGATGATTGTTAGTCAGCCTCTACATCTGTCAATTTCGCACAAGGACAATCCCCAAACCATGGTCGGAGAATACAGGGACGGATGAGAACAGATTGAGTGGCTACCGGTTAATGTTCGTGGCTGGCCGTTTTGCGCCCAAGTGGTTATCAAGAAGTTGCTTGAAAGGGTCAGCCGATGTTGCTGTGTCTACTTTTTTCGGAAGATTACTCCATTAGGTACACACCCCTTTGTGAGAAGTTAGATGCCAACCTTACCTCTGCCCTCAGATGAGGTGCGTTAGTGGGGCTTCTATGGAACTATAGCTTGTAGACCGAAAATGTTTTCCTGTTAAGGTGAACCGCTTGAGGATGACCACATAGGCTGATATCAGGTCGCACCTTTATCTCAGGTAGCTTGAGGTAAACAAGCTGAGCTGCAAAAGGTGTTTCGTTTGTGTTTTGCCCGTTGGTCCGACAGCTGTTTCGGCCCCGTCTGCACCTTCTCAAGGGTGCTCGCGTCTATCTTTGGCAGAGAGGGGCTGTCGTTTTGAACACCTCTTAATCGTATCTAAAATGGGTTTTATGACGATTGGTCTGGGTGTCAGAGCCGCGAGAAGGCTTTTTAAGGAAGTCCATGATGGTATTCGTTCATGCCACCATTCGCTCATAATTGATACGAGTATCTGGCGTGTCAGACAGGTTTAGTCCTTGGCTCTTCTCTGTTAACACTCAGACGGCTGCGCGCTTGTTGAGGATGTGGGTGGCCTTCATCGCTTTCCTCTATGAGCTAAAGCCTAAACCACTTGCGGCTGGCCTGGACTCCAGATGAAGCAGATCGTCTCGGAGAGTCCTAGGATTCCCTTCTTTGTCCATTGCCCCCGATATTTCGACGTCATTAGCAAAAAGGAGAGACTGAGATATTTGAACAGGGAAGTCATTCATAAATAGTGGAAAGTAAAGTGGCTGAGATACTGGTCCTTGGGAAACTCCTGTTTTTGCGCCCCTAGAGGCTTTCCGAATTCGGTACACTTCGGCTCAGAACTCTTGTCCCTCGGATAATCTGTAAACCACGGGATGTGTGGCTCGCCGTTGCCCACTTCTGCAGTCCAGACAGCGTGGTGTAGTGTTGGATGCTGTTGGAAGCTGCCATCAATTCCAAAAGTATAACGTGAACCGGTTGATCGTTGTCCCATCTGGTGCCACAGTCACTATTATCGCTAGTATCCTATTGATGATGATGATGATGATGATGATGATGATGATGATGATGATGATGATGAAGAAGTCTGTCATAGTCTATCATAAGCAAAACAAGAGCTGCTGCAACTTGGACAAGAGAAGCAATTTGACAAAGAAGAAGAAGCCCGAGAAAGTGTTTGTTATTCAGGCGTTGACTACTAAATTATCCGTGAGTCAGTCAGTCAGTCAGTCAGTCGGCAGAGAGTGAGCGGTCGGAGAAGTGAAAACAAAAATCTTGATTGATTCTGCTGTCAACTGAATTCATTCTCCTGCTCCACACAAACTCATCTCACCTTTGCATCAATCTCATTGCTTTACAGGGAGTAAGAGAACAAAGAAGAAGGAGACGAGGAAGAAGAAGAAGAAGAAGAAGAAGATCTATTTTCTGTTACAAAAGTCTATATCTTATTACCAGAAATTGTGGTCGAGTGAGCACAAGAATTTTATCTCTCCTGTGCTAAACACAATATATCTCATAAACGTGAGTTTCTATGACATTTATCATTATTATTATTATTATTATTATTATTATTATTATTATTATTATTATCTTCATGGACTCACTTTTAAATCATGTTATATTTGACAACCAGTCAGTCAGTCAGTCAGCCAGCCCGCCCACTGGGAGGAGGAGGAGGTGGAGGAAGCCAAGAGAGAAATAAATAATAGTTGGTAGCTAAATTATCATTATTACATTACTATTATTATTACTCGACATATTCTTCAATCAAATGGATAATATTGACTATCTAGCCTATTATGCGAGTAGCGTGAATTCACGATCACACGAGATGAGATGAGATGAGATGAGACCAGTTGAAATGTTTGTTATTTGTTCTCTAGTCATTATCCCCCGATGTTGATGACTGACTGATATGCGAACGAGATGTCTGAGGAATGACCGACTGACTGAGTGGGTGAGTGGGTGAGTGGGGGTGGGTGGGTGGCTAGGGGTGGGAATATCTTAGATAATACGAATTAGTGGTTGACTGACTGACTGACTGACTGACTCTAGGTGAAATGGGCCACAATGGCACAGATTTGGTCACTCTTTTACGTCGTCTTCTAATCTAAAGCTAAGCTTGACTAGGTGTGATATTTTCAATTTCCCTCTTCCTCTTCTTCTTCTCCTTGCCTTGTCTTGCCTTGCTTCCTGCCATACACTTTTTGTTTGGCTACTTTGATGATATGAGTCTTTTCTCTGACATTGCTACTACTCGTGTGGAATTCGTCGGCAGCTAACCCTAAACGATCCATCGATGGATCGATCCACTTGTTTACTTTACTTGCAAGGCTGCTTTACAATGATTTCGTCTATCTGAAAACTTTGTCTCACCCTAACCTCCTAACCCTACAGAAGACAGACGACTGTGGGTGTCAAGCCTAATGAATTCTACAATAATATAAAGAAAATATTACCTACTTACTTACTTACTTATTTGGTAGATGTAGATGTAGATGTAAGTAACTCCTTTATGACTTGAGCAATTTGATGATTGTGAAATGATCGGCTGGTATAGACAGACAGTTGGCGGATTCCACTCCACTCCAGTCCAGTCCAGGGGTTGAAGGCTGATAGAGAGGTAGTGAGGGAGGAATCGTTTGCGAAAAAATAATTTGTTGTCGATCAATTGATACACAGTCAGTCAGTTAGTCAATCAGTCAGTCGTATTATTGTTATGCAAACAAGAAACATTTTTTCAGGCATATGGTAGGTAGGCACTTTCTGTACGATTTCGATCGAATCTTGTATAATTTGATATATGATTTTGATTGCAAACAATCAATCAATTTGTTGTTAGTAAGTAATTGACTAGTAGAAAATGAAACAAGAATTGGAATGAATATAAACCTCGACGTCACCCCTTCAATCGTCAATGTTATAAATTATGGAATCAGTTAGTTGGTTGGTTGATTGGTTAGTTAGTTAGTTAGTTAGTTACTTGACTATCCTGCTGGTTGGCAGTAGTGGTAGTGGTAGTAGTTCGAAAGGTGGTTTATATACAACATAATTTGACTGACTGATTTGGAAAGGGGGCCAGATATTTTTGAAGGGGTGTTGTTGTTGTTGTTAATGGAATCAGGAATCATGAGAAAGAAATTATACGTTTCAAGCCTACTTCACACGTGAAGTAAATAAGCTGTGTACCGATTTTGACAAGCACCATCATCACCATCATCATGATTGTGATTATGATTTTGTTTCAAATGGATAACAGGCTGCAACATTTGAACAGGTCAACTATTTATTATCATGGATCCACTTCATGCGCCATCATCATCATCATCATCATGATTGGGTTCTCAATGAATAACAGGCTGCAACATTTGATCAGGTCAATTATTTATCATGAAATTTGTAATGTGATGCTGATGCTGAAAGTGATATGGAGTAGGAGTAGGTGTAGGTGTAGGGGTAGGGGTGTTGCAGTGACAAGAAAACAAACAGGTGGATGGTATGAATGAAGAAAATTCAATTCAATTCAAATCGAATCAAAATCATCATCATCATCATCATCATGTGTAATTAATGTGATAACATGCATTATATTAAGTTGTATGCATAGTTAGTCGGCTGTGTGTCAAGCAAGAGAGAGAGAGAGGGAGAGAGAGAACTAAGTGCTGTATGTTGAGAGTGGAATCCATGTGGTGATTGCGTTGTGTCATTTGAAATTATATACATGATGGTGATTTACGGGATGGGAGAGTTGTGAAGGGGGTGGGGGTTGGGGTTGGGGGGTGGGCGAACTGCCTGATTCTCACGTCTCGTTTACGGAAAGGCCAGAGAGAGGAGAGACTGACTGACTGACTGACCAACTTGTTCATGAATGGTCGTCAATCGAGACCAATGGCGCACGTTGAAAGTCAGTAGTAGTAGAAGTAATACTGAATATAAATAACCGAGCCGAATATCACATGCTTAAAATAATGATAATTACAGCGAGAGAAAATTGTTTTCGGCTAATTGGTTGGTGCCAAGGGGAAGAGTGGTTTTCGTTAGCTGCACTATTATCGCTAGTATCCTATTGATGATGATGATGATGAAGAAGTCTGTCATAGTCTATCATAAGCAAAACAAGAGCTGCTGCAACTTGGACAAGAGAAGCAATTTGACAAAGAAGAAGAAGCCCGAGAAAGTGTTTGTTATTCAGGCGTTGACTACTAAATTATCCGTGAGTCAGTCAGTCAGTCAGTCGGCAGAGAGTGAGCGGTCGGAGAAGTGAAAACAAAAATCTTGATTGATTCTGCTGTCAACTGAATTCATTCTCCTGCTCCACACAAACTCATCTCACCTTTGCATCAATCTCATTGCTTTACAGGGAGTAAGAGAACAAAGAAGAAGGAGACGAGGAAGAAGAAGAAGAAGAAGAAGAAGAAGATCTATTTTCTGTTACAAAAGTCTATATCTTATTACCAGAAATTGTGGTCGAGTGAGCACAAGAATTTTATCTCTCCTGTGCTAAACACAATATATCTCATAAACGTGAGTTTCTATGACATTTATCATTATTATTATTATTATTATTATTATTATTATTATTATTATTATTATTATTATTATTATTATTATCTTCATGGACTCACTTTTAAATCATGTTATATTTGACAACCAGTCAGTCAGTCAGTCAGCCAGCCCGCCCACTGGGAGGAGGAGGAGGTGGAGGAAGCCAAGAGAGAAATAAATAATAGTTGGTAGCTAAATTATCATTATTACATTACTATTATTATTACTCGACATATTCTTCAATCAAATGGATAATATTGACTATCTAGCCTATTATGCGAGTAGCGTGAATTCACGATCACACGAGATGAGATGAGATGAGATGAGACCAGTTGAAATGTTTGTTATTTGTTCTCTAGTCATTATCCCCCGATGTTGATGACTGACTGATATGCGAACGAGATGTCTGAGGAATGACCGACTGACTGAGTGGGTGAGTGGGTGAGTGGGGGTGGGTGGGTGGCTAGGGGTGGGAATATCTTAGATAATACGAATTAGTGGTTGACTGACTGACTGACTGACTGACTCTAGGTGAAATGGGCCACAATGGCACAGATTTGGTCACTCTTTTACGTCGTCTTCTAATCTAAAGCTAAGCTTGACTAGGTGTGATATTTTCAATTTCCCTCTTCCTCTTCTTCTTCTCCTTGCCTTGTCTTGCCTTGCTTCCTGCCATACACTTTTTGTTTGGCTACTTTGATGATATGAGTCTTTTCTCTGACATTGCTACTACTCGTGTGGAATTCGTCGGCAGCTAACCCTAAACGATCCATCGATGGATCGATCCACTTGTTTACTTTACTTGCAAGGCTGCTTTACAATGATTTCGTCTATCTGAAAACTTTGTCTCACCCTAACCTCCTAACCCTACAGAAGACAGACGACTGTGGGTGTCAAGCCTAATGAATTCTACAATAATATAAAGAAAATATTACCTACTTACTTACTTACTTATTTGGTAGATGTAGATGTAGATGTAAGTAACTCCTTTATGACTTGAGCAATTTGATGATTGTGAAATGATCGGCTGGTATAGACAGACAGTTGGCGGATTCCACTCCACTCCAGTCCAGTCCAGGGGTTGAAGGCTGATAGAGAGGTAGTGAGGGAGGAATCGTTTGCGAAAAAATAATTTGTTGTCGATCAATTGATACACAGTCAGTCAGTTAGTCAATCAGTCAGTCGTATTATTGTTATGCAAACAAGAAACATTTTTTCAGGCATATGGTAGGTAGGCACTTTCTGTACGATTTCGATCGAATCTTGTATAATTTGATATATGATTTTGATTGCAAACAATCAATCAATTTGTTGTTAGTAAGTAATTGACTAGTAGAAAATGAAACAAGAATTGGAATGAATATAAACCTCGACGTCACCCCTTCAATCGTCAATGTTATAAATTATGGAATCAGTTAGTTGGTTGGTTGATTGGTTAGTTAGTTAGTTAGTTAGTTACTTGACTATCCTGCTGGTTGGCAGTAGTGGTAGTGGTAGTAGTTCGAAAGGTGGTTTATATACAACATAATTTGACTGACTGATTTGGAAAGGGGGCCAGATATTTTTGAAGGGGTGTTGTTGTTGTTGTTAATGGAATCAGGAATCATGAGAAAGAAATTATACGTTTCAAGCCTACTTCACACGTGAAGTAAATAAGCTGTGTACCGATTTTGACAAGCACCATCATCACCATCATCATGATTGTGATTATGATTTTGTTTCAAATGGATAACAGGCTGCAACATTTGAACAGGTCAACTATTTATTATCATGGATCCACTTCATGCGCCATCATCATCATCATCATATCATGATTGGGTTCTCAATGAATAACAGGCTGCAACATTTGATCAGGTCAATTATTTATCATGAAATTTGTAATGTGATGCTGATGCTGAAAGTGATATGGAGTAGGAGTAGGTGTAGGTGTAGGGGTAGGGGTGTTGCAGTGACAAGAAAACAAACAGGTGGATGGTATGAATGAAGAAAATTCAATTCAATTCAAATCGAATCAAAATCATCATCATCATCATCATGTGTAATTAATGTGATAACATGCATTATATTAAGTTGTATGCATAGTTAGTCGGCTGTGTGTCAAGCAAGAGAGAGAGAGAGGGAGAGAGAGAACTAAGTGCTGTATGTTGAGAGTGGAATCCATGTGGTGATTGCGTTGTGTCATTTGAAATTATATACATGATGGTGATTTACGGGATGGGAGAGTTGTGAAGGGGGTGGGGGTTGGGGTTGGGGGGTGGGCGAACTGCCTGATTCTCACGTCTCGTTTACGGAAAGGCCAGAGAGAGGAGAGACTGACTGACTGACTGACCAACTTGTTCATGAATGGTCGTCAATCGAGACCAATGGCGCACGTTGAAAGTCAGTAGTAGTAGAAGTAATACTGAATATAAATAACCGAGCCGAATATCACATGCTTAAAATAATGATAATTACAGCGAGAGAAAATTGTTTTCGGCTAATTGGTTGGTGCCAAGGGGAAGAGTGGTTTTCGTTAGCTGCACTATTATCGCTAGTATCCTATTGATGATGATGATGATGAAGAAGTCTGTCATAGTCTATCATAAGCAAAACAAGAGCTGCTGCAACTTGGACAAGAGAAGCAATTTGACAAAGAAGAAGAAGCCCGAGAAAGTGTTTGTTATTCAGGCGTTGACTACTAAATTATCCGTGAGTCAGTCAGTCAGTCAGTCGGCAGAGAGTGAGCGGTCGGAGAAGTGAAAACAAAAATCTTGATTGATTCTGCTGTCAACTGAATTCATTCTCCTGCTCCACACAAACTCATCTCACCTTTGCATCAATCTCATTGCTTTACAGGGAGTAAGAGAACAAAGAAGAAGGAGACGAGGAAGAAGAAGAAGAAGAAGAAGAAGATCTATTTTCTGTTACAAAAGTCTATATCTTATTACCAGAAATTGTGGTCGAGTGAGCACAAGAATTTTATCTCTCCTGTGCTAAACACAATATATCTCATAAACGTGAGTTTCTATGACATTTATCATTATTATTATTATTATTATTATTATTATTATTATTATTATTATTATTATTATTATCTTCATGGACTCACTTTTAAATCATGTTATATTTGACAACCAGTCAGTCAGTCAGTCAGCCAGCCCGCCCACTGGGAGGAGGAGGAGGTGGAGGAAGCCAAGAGAGAAATAAATAATAGTTGGTAGCTAAATTATCATTATTACATTACTATTAGCGTGAATTTACGATCACACGAGATGAGACGAGATGAGACCAGTTGAAATGTTTTTTTCTTTTTTCGGATTTTCAATCTTTGGTGTTTCCGGTTTCGGATGGTCTATGGTCAACTATCAGTTGTTCGCATTGTAAAACTGTTTCTCGATTATTTTCAATCTTGTGTAATTGTATGTTATTTTTAAATGGTATTTCATTCTTATTTCTTGTCATTGTGTGTGTGTGTGTGTGATTATCGATTATTTATGTCTGCATCACGTGCTCTTTTATCTTAATATCTGCTGACACATCATGTGAATATAGTTTAGCCGGCTGACTGACTGGCTGACTGACTGTATAGTCTTTGCCGCCTACTTTGTTTGTTCGTTCAATAAGTGAGGATGTTTACTGAACAATTTAAAGTACACACTGAAGTTGATGTTGAGGTGTGTGTGTGTGTGTGTGGCTTATGTCTAAAAATAGCTGAATCATGTGATGATCATGTAAAAGATTTTCAGTTTTAGTCAGAGTTAATGTTCAGTGGAAGTTTGTGAGTGGAATAATATCAGAATTGAATTGCAGTGTAACACTAACGACATGACTGTGATCATCACTGATGCTGCTAGAAGAAGAAGGAGAATATCTATTCGACGTTGAATGAATACTACTACTGTGGTAAATACAATCCTACATATTGTGGTACTAATTAACATAATTGTGGTAATGTGTTATGTTGTGTTATGCAAGGACTGACTGGTGTTGATGTTGTGATGTGATGTGACATGTTGGGTGGGAAACATGTGAATATGTGAATATATATGAACTATGAATTGTTTTATGTTTTCAACAGAGGTTTGAATGTTACATTTTGTGATTTATGTTTCAGATGATCTGGTATTCGGGTGCCTACATCAGCTGTTTGAAGTCGACATGTTTATTCCTGAGTTTGGAAGGCCTCTCTTCTTCATCTACCTGTTGACTGACTGATTGACTGACTGAGTGTATGGCACGGCATGGCATGGCACCAGTGTTTGTTCTTTCATCAATTGATGAACATATTTCTTTTGTTAAAACTTATAATCTCTTCTAGTTTACATCATAATATACATATATATTATACCGTTGAGTTTATCTACCTACCTATCTGTTTATCTTGTCAATAGAATGAATAGTTGAAATGGTGAGTGGAGTGATAAGAATCAATTTGTTTACTGGAGGGAATATTTTGGATAGGGTATGAAATTCACGGTAGGTAGGTAGGTAGGTAGGTATGTAGTAAAAGGGAATAATTGTAGGATGTGAGTAATGTTAATGAATGTATTACGGAGAGAATTGGTAGTAATAGAAAGCGGACGGAGGAAGGAAGATGTGTGTGTGTGTGTGTGTGTGTTTAGGGTTGGGTTGAAGGGAGAAGAGTGATGGTGATGAGTAGATGGGCGTGTGCATGGATGGTGATGTAGGTGTATCTATTCATTCAACCAGTGAATACATCTACAATGAGATTGACGTATATGTGTTGAGAAATAGCAGCGATATGTGACTGATGGATTGGTGTCGTTTTGAAATTTGATCAGATAGATGAAAACCGAGATATTCAGCGAAGACGACTCTTTTCAACGAATTTATTCTGAAGCTAGCTGTACATTCGTATATATATGATATCTAAAGACTGTACGTTATCCGTGAGGAGGATTTAACTGAAATGATGGGGGGTTGAAACAAACGACAATATTAATGATGATGGTGGTGATAATTATATAATGTTGATAATTGATGACGTAAAGATCGAATGGTAAGAAGAAGGGGTTACGTAAGACTTTGAAGTCGTTTATAAAGTGCATATAGATTAAAAGGGTTGAGAAGATGAATAAACAATCAAAGGATTAGGTGATCTAAACGAGACGAATTAATTGGAGTAAATTGTAAAAGGTTTTGTTAGGAATTGCGATAATTAGGAAGATCAAATGAAATAATAATGGAGAAAAATGAATACAAAAGGAAAAACGGAAGAAGCCGACCAAGACTAAAATCAATTCGGGGCCAAGGTAGAGAGAGAGAGAGAGACAAAGACTGTACGTACTTCTTCTGCACACAAAGGTCAGACTTCATTCAGTAAACGTGTTGTGTTGTTGGGCGAATTCGATAGACAACCTTGAAATGCTTGTTTGCATCAACTGAATGGTTGGAATCGATTAAATGTTCAAGGATAGAACTTGTGATACATTTGCTTTGACCCTTATAAAACTAGGCCAGAATGTGATCTGGTATACGTGTTGACAGCAGTGTGTGACTACGACCGATGTACATTGCTCCACACGAGCAGGTAATCACTGTGAACACACACCTATCGGCAAGACAAACTAGTCTGCCAAGGTGACCACTGGGTATGGTTTATTTCGTGGAATCGAATAGGCGGAAAATGAGGAGGAGGAGGGGATAGCAGGGAGGGAAAAGTGAGTACTATAATGTTTGAAAAGGGAAAAAACTTACTACTTTGATCATGGTGTATCTAATGAGTGTACGTAATGTTTTTGAATGTTAGGATCAGTCAGGCGTAAGGTTGTTAATGATCCTGCTGTGTAGATGACACAGTTCCAGGCTATTGGAAATGTGAGAAGGCACTGGCAAACTTGCTTTGAGTAAAATATTAGGAGGGAGGGATCAGATGTTCAGCGGTGACAGGGTGATCAACAATGAAACTGTTTATACACTTTTTTATTTCCCTTTGGATAACCAGAGTAGACAATGTTGTCAAATAAGCTGACGGACAATCAAATGAATAAGCTGAAGACTGGAAGTTTTTCTTCGAATTCACTTCAGTCAATGAATTATGGATAGAAACATGAAGTGTTTCCACGTATGTATGATACCATGTGGATAGAATAGTGATTATACCTCTTTCTTATCCATTGTTCAAATACTTCATTAAAGTATAACGCTGCATTGTTCTCAGATAAAATTTAACAATATCAGGTCAAATAAAGACTTCACAGATGAGGAAATATTTGAAAGCCATTTGACACATAATCTTATTTATCAGCAGTAGTCCATAGCAAAACCACATGTTCATCAACTGAGATTGTCGTTCAATGTACACTATAATAAAATATAGCTGCTTAATATGTATATATATATGGTTAATCTTACTCGAACTACATTATAGATGAACGGACAACACTACATTTTTACTAGTAAGTGATGATTATAGCACATTATCTGATTGAGGCAATGAGCTGTAATGAGTGAACGAAATTGTACCCTGAACTACTCTACTACAGGTTTACTGACAAAGGTGTGTATGCAACGGAAAATAATTAGGGATTAAGGATCCTTTTTCATGACAGGAGAATACCAAAGTTGATTTCTAAAAACACATTTATACAGTCCAAAACTGGTCTAACTAACATTTCACTTTGTGCTCACTCAACATTATAAAGAAACAATCAAACGTGTAATGCATGCCCAACAATAAAGTAGATAACTGACAGGGATCTAATGCTAGCTAAAAGGATGATAATTAGGTCTGACCTATGTGAGTGACCAATATGTGATTTGATTTATAAACCTGAATAAATTTCACAGCTTTTCTCAACAGGTCGTTCGTTACCTTAGTTAGCATCGGTTATAAACCTAACCGATGTAAAACTTCACATCCAGGGAAATGTTCTATATCTACTGTTTAAAGTCTAGCACATCTCTTTGAAACGGTAGACACTAGCCTGATTTTTACTCGTCCAACCAACAAAAAGGTGAAGTGAATGCAGTATTATTCATTTCTTCTTTCCAATGAGTTTGACTATAGTCGACAGTCCTTTTGAATGGAATTAACAAAATTGAATGAAGAAGTAACACGACTTCTGGTTGTCAGTCGTTAGATCACGTTGCCGTACAACCATGCATGCTGTAGTTGAAATTCTAATCTGTGAAGCTTTCAAGATTTAGATGAATATTTTAGGGGAATAAGCGTAATGGATGACTTCACTATGTATTTTGCTATTCAAGCATCCGATAGAAAGAATGTGTATGTGCAATCAACGAATTCTAGGCTTAGACAAAACTAAGTCCTTACCTTTATATACTACTTCATAAGGCGTAGAAGCAGATAATATTTTAGAGGGAACTGATGACAAACCCATATGCTTAGGGTTTTCACATGCTGTCAAGAAGCAAGGTGATTCCATTTGAAGCAAGTTCCCTGGATTTATATGTTTGTTGATTAACGCAGTGTTTCAACTAGGGGCGGCGGCGGCTGCACAAACGAAGACGTCAAATCCGGCCATGGTCGGAAGAGCAAGACAGGCGTTGACTAACCTGGAACCAGTGTGGAGATCTTCTGCACTGCACTCAGCAAGTAGTGTGAACAACATCCGGATTTTCAACAACAACCCAGTCAAGTCAGTGCTTCTGTATGCCTCACAGACTTGATGCGTTACGAAAGGCATTCCCAACAAACTACAGACATTCATCAACCACCACCCACGCTGGCTCCTTACTGAAGATCAGATGGATTGCCAGAATAAAAATGAGAATAAGCAAGAAAGAATTGTGGCTGGCTGGCTGGCTGGCTGGCTGGCTGGCTGGCTGGCTGGCTGGCTGGCTGGCTGTTAACGAACCAACGTAGCAAGAACCTATCTTCCAACAAAAATGTACTGTAAGGAAGTGGAGATGGATTGGATTGGGCATGCACTGAGAAGGCCGACTGGGGACATCACACGCTAGGTCCACGAGTTGAACCT